CCCCCCAGCCTGAGGGCCATGCAGACCTGTGTCTCTGTCCTGGACACACTGGACACCAGTGCCCTCCCCAGCCTGAGGGCCATGCAGACCTGTGTCTGTGCCCTGGACACACTAGACGCCCGCGGCCCCCCCAGCCTGAGGGCCATGCAGACCCCATCTGGCCAGGAGCCCGCCACATGAACTCCAGGCCTCTCTCCCTGGCGGGATGCCCACACGTGGGCTTGCCCTGGTCCTGACACTGGTGACGAGGCCACTGCACGCTGCTCGTGGCCCACCTGCAGTGGGTTCCTTCACTGTGACACACTGGACAGGAAGAGACACCTAGCACTCCGTGATGAGCAGCAGGCACTGTCCACTCCTGAGCAGCAGGCACTGTCCACTCCTGGGCACCAGCAACGCCAGGGCCACAGGAGTGCCAGGGCCACTGCACCCAGACGCCTGCGCGGGCCCCCGGGGCGTGCTGAGCATGGCCCAGGCTTCACAAGGGCCCAGTGCCCAAGGCCGGGCTCCGCCCGCACCTGCTGCTGGAAGCCTCACCCCTTCTGCCACCTTCCAAGGACAAGAAGCCACTGGACTGCCTGGGGCAGCACCCAGTGCCCAGCCCACTCTCACTCTCCTGCTCCCAYAGAGGACACTTCCTTGGCCATCCCCGTGCACCCTGAGAGTCTGCCAGGAAACGTACCTAGGAGAGCAGTTTTCTGTTCCAAAACGTCTCTCCACACCCAGCCAGGAGTTTGTTTTGTGTTTGGGGGTTTTTCTTAGAGCCACAGTAAAACCATGGACAGGAAGGTGGTTGGAGGGGCCGCTCTGTGGGTGCGCGGTGGAGAGGAGGGAGGTGGACATGCTGAAGGACTGGATTTGGACAGGAAGGTGTGGCAGAGGTGCTCGGAGGTGCCCTGCAGGGCTGTTAGAAAAGGTAGTTTTAAGAAAGAAGCTTTGACTTGCAGTAGCAGCAGAAAGCTCCAGAAATGTACAGATGGACCTCTCGAGACCTGGGTCACTTTCCCGGGAAAGTCCCAGTGTCGTCGAAGGCTTAGCAGGCCAGTCCCCGCCTGTGATGCGAAGGCTCACCACACAAAGGCGGTTCTCAGACTCACAGTTCAAGTCGGCAGGGTTTTTCATGGAACCGACCCCATCACATATTCAAAGAGCAGAAGGCCAGATCAGCCTGTGTGAGGAGCACCTGCAGGGGTCCGCGTGCGCAGCGGGTCCCAGCCTCTGCACAGAGACGGATGAGAAGCAAGAGGAGGCGGGTGAATGAGAGGCAGCGAGAGTCCTCATGTGGAGAAGAGTGTCCTCCCCTGGATTAAACCCCCACATGTCATGTATCAAACACCCGCACTGAAGAGCAGGAGGTCCGGTCTGTGAGGAGGAAATGTGGCGGAGAGTGAATTTGTTAAAACATAAAACAGATCCACAGAGAAGACACGATGTGCGTGGACCAGCAGTCTCTGCGACCTCCCGCTAGGAAACTCGGCAAGCGTCTCCTACAGGGTGCCAAGCCCGCGTGGGCCCCAGGAGGGGTGGCCAAAGCCCCTGTGGTGTATGTACACATCCCTCAGCTGGCAAAGGCTTCTGAGTGGAGGTCCAGCGCCCTGGTGAGAGCGAGTCCCAAGAGCACGTCCCCAAGAGAGCAAGTCCCAGGCATGCCCAGGTGTCCTCATGGAAGCCTCAGGGGCCAACCAGCTCCATCACACCCTCCCACCTCACCGTGCCAYAGGGGCACCTCCGAGCACCTCCGTCACACCTTCCTGTCCAAATCCAGTCCTTCAGCATGTCCACCTCCCTCCTCTCCACAGCGCACCCACAGAGCGGCCCCTCCGACCACYTTCCTGTCCATGGTTTTACTGCGGCTCTAAGAAAAACCCCCAAACACAAAACAAACTCCTGGCTGGGTGTGGTGGCACATGCCTCTGATCCCAGCAACTCAGGGGGCTAGCCAGGAAGATCACAAGTTCAAGGCCAGTCTCAGCAACTTGGCAACGCTCTAAGCTAAGTAACTTAGTAATTAGGAAGACCCTGTCTCAAAGTGAAAAATAAAAAGGGCTGGTGATGTGGTCCAGGGTTGAGCGCCCCTGGGTTCAATCCCTGGTACCAAAAAAACAAAACAAAACGAAGACTTCCTTCCTAAAAGTGCGTGTGGCCACCGGAGGAAGCTCTCCGCTCCACCCTGGGAGCCGTCCCACACCGTCTGTGCTGCAGGACCGAGGGCAGCTGACACTCGAGGCTGCCTTTCCAGACACCTCTGCATGCCCAGGCTCCAGCGGCCTCTCTGGTGGCTCCCGTGACCGACCCTTCCCAGCACACRGCGGTATTTCCACCGTCGTCTGCCACAGTGTCTGGAGACGGATCTGGCGCGTGCTGGCCTCCACACACCTGCCTGGCTGACAGGGGCCGGCTGCCCTGGGCAGCCGCAGCTCTGCTGTCCTCACAGCGAGCTCACTTTCCTGTTGTTTGGGGACGTGCTCTGAGTCGCTGCCACGCTGCAGCCTTCCTACCGTGCAGACGGGAGCTGCCGCCAGTATGCGGGCACCGACCTCCCCACCGTCTCCCGCGCTGCCTCCGATCTCGCTAAGGAAAGGCAGTTCCTTCACTGGCGTTTCCAGTGTCACAAGCCCGTCTGTCCTTGCCTTCACCAGGCTGTGTGGTGGACGACGGCCACACTGTGGCCACTGGGTCCAGCCCCGGAGTCTCCCGGGGGTGAGGTCGGGCGTGCTGCGACCCGGGTCCTCGCCCTGCGTCTCCCAGGCTCTCCCCTCAGGAGCTGGGTGCACACTGGGAGCCCGGCCCTGGTCTCTGCCAACGCCCTGGCCCCAGCCCCTCGGCCCTGCTCCCCTCATGGAGGGGTGTCACGGTTTTCTATTGTACACGTGAGGACCACCTGGAGCAGACGTTCATCTGCCCCAGAGTTTCAGAGATCTCAGTCCATGACCAGCTGGCGCCTCGCCCACAGGTGCCAAGGGCGGAGCAGAGGCAGAAGGCCAGGGCGCGGAGGACCTGGCTGCGGCCCCTGCTCAGCTCATGGGGGCCGGGGTGTGTGTGTGCACGTGTGCGTGCCAGGGACAGGCTGCACCATCATCCAAGGGCACACCCCTGACCTTCGCTCTGCAGCCACGCCCACCTGCCTGCAGTCAGGCCCTGGTCCCTTCCAACCATCAGCTGGTCACGTGTGACATGCTCTGAGAGGTCRCAGCTCTGTGATCTGCTGGGTCCACCTCTGAACATTCCCATGTGGTCAACACGAGTTTTGGGGGGGCTACCACATATCCAGACCATCACAGGGCTGTCCTAAGAACTGGCCCACAGGACCATCAGAGATGCAGCCCCTCCAGCAGGGGCAGCTGGTCCAGTCCCCAGGGAGGGGCCGCCCCGTGGCCTGAGGTCAGGGCACACTTTCAGCAGTAGGAACCCCCGCAGGCCTCAAGGAGAGCCGGCTGGGGGTGCGCAGGCCCAGCACAGGGCAGCCGTGGTCTCTGCAGGGGTCAGCACGCCTCTGCAGTTCTCTTTTATTYTTGTTTCTGACAGACCTTGACTTTATGGGTTTGTTTATATGTGGTGCTGAGAATCGAGCCCAGGACCTCAGACGTACCAGGCCAGTGCTCTAGCGCTGCGCCCCAGCCCCGCCCCGGAAGTTCCCAGTTCACGTTCCCTCCTGCTCCTGTGCTCAGGCTCTGGGTTAACTTACCAAGACACTCTGGCCTTATGTCACTGACTCACAACACAGGAGCAAAGCAGTCCCTGTTTACTTCATGGGCGAGCAGCCGGGGGAAGAGGACGCAGACAGAGCCTGTGGGGGCCCTGGTGCTGGTCCTCTCACCAGACCACAGGGAGTCGGATGCCAGCACTCCACATGCACAGATGAAACCCAACCACCTGGGAACTCAAAGCCCCTCACCACCAAAGCCCCCAGGTTTGCTGACGAGTGTCAAACCCAAATCCATGCCCAGGACACTTCATAGCTGAAGCGGCCGACACTGACCTTGCTGGCCATGGACCCCTAGGACGTTCTGCAGGAGACTGGGTGGCTTCTCTCAGGCCCTTAGGCTACCTAATCTGCAAGCACGGGAGGGCACCGGTCTCGGGCCAGGGGGAAGACCCACGCCAGCCCTGGGCAGAACAGGAGCCTGAGCAGGCGCTGCCCAGACAGTCCTGAGGAAGAGGAGGCTCACGGCTTCGACAGTGAGCCCGTGGTCCACATCCACACAAGCGCCAACCACACGAGCCCCTCACCTACCTTCTTTATCACTCCGGGCACTGCCTGCAAGGAACCTGGACACCAGGGGAGTGCTAGACAAGGACAGGCAGGTGGCGATGAAGACGCTCTGAGTGGGCTTGATCTGCAGGAGGTGTCCCCACAGCAGGCCGAAGGCCGTCATCAGCAGAGTCATGTAGCACGGTCCTTGTAAGGATATCTTCCACACCTGGAAGGAAGCACCTGCAAGTCACATGTGTCCTAGTGACCGCCACCCCAACTCTGGCACCCACTGGGGCCGACCTTCGGGGGAAGCAGCTCTGAGGCCACACCCGGCCACTCTGACCCCATACACAATCGACCCAGGGTCACACACACAGGCAGGACCCTTGCAGGTGGGCCACAGGTCCTCCACCACACACCAACTCTCCAGCTCAAGTCCCTAAATAAAAGGCAGACTATCTGTAGAACCTACGTACCGTCAGGAGCCACGTGCACACCTGTAAGTCCTGAGTAAAGGGGTACTGAACCGGAACTGCACCTGCAATGCCACTGGACGTCACCTCCCCTGGGGTAAGAAAGGTGCAGCTCAGGGAGCGGGGGTCGCCCGATGGCGTTAAATGACACCCCCCTGTTTGCTGTGATCCTACCCTTTTGCCCTTTCTTGGATGTAATGTTCTCTGTATCAGCTCCCCGCATTAATAAAACCCACGTTTGAGGCGAGCTCCTCTTTCTTGCCTGCCTTGACCCCCCAAGTGGGAGCCATGAGTGAGGAGGGGTCATTGAACCCAAAGAAAAAGGTACTTTCTGTGTCTGTGTCTTTTAGTCAGCCCAAATTCACTTGTTGTGACCCTGATTGATTTCATGGCATGTCCCCACAATGTACATTCTGTAGACTGGGATTTGGGTGCTGGGACTGAACCGAGGGGCTCTACCACTGAGCCGAATGTCCAGTGCTTTCTATTTTTTGAGAAAGGGCCTCACTAAGTTGCCAAGGCTGGCCTTGAACTTTAGATCCTCCTGCCTCAGCCTCCCGAGTCACTGGAATCACAGGTGTGTGCCACTCTGCCCAGCAGAAACCAGGTTGGACCCTCATGGGTTTGGATCTAGTTGAAGAGATGAGAAGGTGCTTATGAGTCCTGTAGGACGACAAACTAGAAACTCGACTGCTCCCTCCAAGCACTGACCCTCTCCTCACTGCACGCACCCCTGGAACCAACCCGTCCTGTGCTCAGATCCCCACTGATGGGGCGCTGGCAGTGCTGGCCCGCGTGCAGCAGCAGGGCTGAGGCTGGCTGGAGGCCCCACGGGGAGCCACCTTCTCGRCGCAGCTCTCCCTGGGTCCTCTGCAGCACAGATGCTCCTCACCCCTCCCCCTCATCTTTCAGAAGTCAGGGAGGTTGGGGTTTCCGACCACAGCCGAGCAAGCCCAGGGACCTGAGGTCTCCCCAGCACAGCCCACCTCCCAGCCCACCCTGCATTTCTCCTGTGTGCGTGCGTGCGTGCGTGCGTGCGTGCGTGTGTGTGTGTGACAAAGCAACAGGCTCTGGGGTGGGACACTTGCGGGTGGGGCGTGGCTGGGAGGGATCCTTGGAGGGGCCTTGGGGTCTCACTGATTCTCTCCTGCTCTCTGCCTCCTGAGCTGCAGCTCTGCTCCACCACGTCCTTCCACCACGATGCTCAGGCCCACAACAGGGCGGCAGTGAAGCCGGCCAACCACGGACTGGACCTCAGAAACTGTGCGCCCAGACAAACTTGCTCCTGAGATGGCTCTGGTCAGGACTTCTGGCCATGGCCATGGAAAGCTGACTAACATGAAAGCCACCCAAGAAATGCACATGCAGGCCACGGGCAGGGCTGCCGGAGGGCCTGCCACAGGGCAGGTGCCCGGGAGCCAGACGGAGGAGGAGGAGGCCTAACTTCCACACCTGAAGACCCAGAGTCCACCCAGCGGGCAGCCCCTGATGGACCAAGCTCAAAGGGCGACTGTGAGGCAGGGGATCACAACACTGGTGGCCAGGAGGGGAAGACTGCCTGCCAGAGTCCTCAGAGGCCCCGGTAGCTGCTGCTTCAGGAGCACCTGCAGCCCTCACTGGGGTGCAGAGCCACCTGCTGCACCAAGAACGTCCTCTCTCATGGAGAACACGGGGAACTACCTGTGAAGGCAG